TCATTACGGAAAATCTAACTGCTCATTTTATATCAATACTTTTACTTTTAATACTTAAGTACAAACAACATCAGATACTTTAAGGCTTTTGCTCAAGTAATATTCCTAAAGGAGACTTTAACTTTTACCAAAGTATTTTTGGTAAAATACTTGTACTTTTACTCTAGTAATATTCCTAAAGGAGACTTTAACTTTTACCGAAGTAATTTTTTTGGTAAGATACTTGTAATTTTACTCAAGTATCACTTTGTGTTACTTTATACAACACTGCCTCTGCGTCCGATTTTGACGCGTCAGGTAACCCCCTCACATCAGTTACTGACGAGACGAGAACAAGGAGGAGGGGCTCGTTGTCATATTTTTGAAAAGTGTAGAAAGTGCGTGACAACTGACTGACACAAACCCTAAACGTACCTTCTATTATCCATMCTATCTCTGACCTCACTACCTAAAATTAACCAGTAACCCTGATCCCTGATATTAACCACGGACCCCAACCCAAAGACCCTGTGTGGTGKGTCAATAACTGACAYGATTTGTGATGAGATGGGAGCAAGAATGTGCTATCTATGGAAACCTTTGCAACGGTCCAAAATTTACTTGCATGAGCTGTAGGGACTTGTCACTTGAGTTTTAAACTTGTTCAAGAAAAATTTTGTCCCTTTTTTTTAAATGGTCAGATGTCACAGGTGTCTCAAACACCATTTGGATCAAAATCGCTGAAGCTTTATTTTAACTCCTCGGTGGGAGCTCTCTTTTGATGGGAAACATCCAAATATATTTATAGTCAGTTTGGTTTTTGGCCAAACCTGCACAAAAAATACTCTTAAATTATTTCCGCTCCTTTGCCAGAATCTGTCTTGGAACAAATGCCTGGGTCACTCTGCTGGATGCTGACCATCAATAATATGATGGACTACATCCTTCTAACCATATTCTCTTTAAAAAAATATCATTATAGCAGCATCATGCTGTGTCTTTGCTGCCTTGGGCTCTGAGACTGATGTGACCCGAGCAGAAGCTGTGTTCATTTCCTGCTAGTTAATATATTTATTTATTTATTTATTTAAGCCAGTGCAGAGCCATTGTACCCTACTGTGATGCAGCACATTCAAGAAAGAGAACCCTTGTTGTGACACTCATTAAGAAAATGTTACTGACTCTACAGGTGCTGGAGGATGGTCACCTCTGGACAGTGACCATTACCAGTGGCTACAGGTGGACCTCGGTTCCAGGAAGCAGGTGAGCGCCATAGCAACGCAGGGTCGCTACAGCAGCTCTGACTGGATGACCCAGTACCGCCTCCTCTACAGTGACACAGGAAGGAACTGGAAGCCATATCACCAAGATGGAAACATTTGGGTAAGCTGAACAAAATGTCTGTTACCATATATATCTAAGTGATGACCARTACTGCGCCTTCTTCCCCTGGGCTTTTGTGATTTGTGTCTGAGGTTCTGGGTTCAAATCCCAAATCTTCTTATGTTTCAAACTTTAAAAATTCATTCTAGTGCARTGCTRTTCAACTAAACTGCTCAAAGGGGTCACAGTTACTGCAGGTCAACAGCTTAGGGGCTGGACATCCAGCAATTAAATTTATTATGTAAATAAACCAAGTATTACAAAGATCTGTTACCTTTGAAATAGTTTATTTTGCTGCATTTAATCATGAATACAACATACAGAACCCTATAATAAAATTAGTGATAATAAAACATCAAAAACAAAAGTAGTACATTCTGCCTCATGTTTAACACAAATAATATTTTGACATCTCTGACTTACCAAATTTTTAACACAATTTTATTTTCACTTTCATAGTTTTATCTGTAAATGCTTGTAATTTTAACTGTCTTAGGTGTTCATTGAAATGTTTTTTTAAACCAACTTCTAGCCAAGATTCTGACGTTTCTGTAGATGCCACACATTTCAATGCCACAACGTTTCAATGATATATGTGCATATACATATGAATTATGTTTGTTTGGGATTTGTTTACTGTATTACAGAATTATTACAGTGTATTAATATATTATTCATGTAGAAATGCTTCTCTATATCTACAATTAAACAAGAGCAGCAAAGCTCATCTAGCAGGAAAACTCTGTTTCACAGCGTGGTGCATATAAATATTCATCAGTCTATTAACACACTTTTTACCAAATCTAACTTTCAAGTCAAAGATCTTATTCCAGCACTGATTGTGTCTAGACAGTGAAGCAAAGGCACTTCATTTCTTAGAAGTGTACAGATTTTATCTCATCTCTGGCTGCAATTTCTCCATATTTTATTCCCGACTAAATCACCTCTATCTCTGCACTGTTACTTTAAGGTACTTGAGCGTACAACCTGACAGTCCATGATCATTAGCTAATGGGTTAATAGCTTATGCTGTGTAGCTGAAGACTGCTGGTGATAGCAGATGGGAGATGAAAGGACAAGAATAATTCTGTCATAATTCATACAGCAAGCTTGGAGAAGTTAAATGTGTCAAACAGCTTTACTTCTTTTGCATTTTTATGATTTATTAAAAATTTAAAGATACATATGGAGCTGAAAAGTGCAACACATTTTATATAAGTTCTTGGTTTACTACTGTATGTTTTATTATAACTATTCACCTAGAAATACAACATGAATCTAAGTTATGATTATTAAAAGAGGTTTGAGCCTTCATACACTCAAAAAACATGTTTGATTCACGTAAACAAATTATCTCACCTGGTTCCACTCACTTGAGTAAATGTAAAGCTATTTTTTATTTATTTAAAAGTAGATGTGAAGTAAATGTGTTACATTTATTCAGTTCAGTTGACTGGAACCAGCTGACACAGTTTCAGTAAATCTAACACATCTGTTTTCTGAGTGCAACTGGATCAGTTGTAATTATTGCGAATTTATCTATCAGGTTTTTCAGCAACAGTATGAGACCAAATGTAGTCGTCAGCGTTTGGAATGGATAAATTTTAGTCTTCTTTGGATAAGATTTTAAAAACAGAACCAGCAGTATACAAGTAAACAGTTTCATTTCAGTTTCAGTTTCAATTTTATTCATTTCATTAAAACAAAACAAATAATTTTATATACAATATACAATAAAAAGAAAAATATAAAAAGAACAATGAGAGAAAAAATATCTGCATATCAAAATCACAAATAAAACGAAATGAAAGGCAGCAGAGAGAAGAAAAAATCTTATATCTGCCCCTTTTTCAAGAATAAGTTTATATAACAAAAAAAATCTGTTATTAACAAAACAAAAGAAAAGAACATCTAATCCCTCTAGAACAACAATTTATATAGATACACCTTATAATGTTTTGTATTTCTTAAGCAATCCAGCTTTTATCGTTTTTTTAAATGTACACAGTGATCCTACATTTTTTACATCACTCTCCAAATTATTCCTTGAATTAAAGTATACCGTTCCTTCAAACTAGTTCTGAACTTGGGTTTTACAAATATCTTTGTCCCTTTAAGTTTATAACAACTCTTTCTCTTAGCAAAATTTATTTGGATAATTAAAGGTWATGTGTTTTAAAACTAAACAGGAGACTGTTCTAGAGTTTGACAACGCACAAGTTTTTTTCTTTTTTTGGCTTAAACTGCTGCTAACACTTTAATGCCTAAAGCCAACCAACAGCTGAAAACAAGTACTTATTGATTGCAGGTGAAAAACTAATCTGTATTTCCAAAATAAAAGTAGTCATAAAGTAGTAATAAAAGTTCCGAAAACTAGAAAACTTAACAAAACTACTCCTGTTATCAATTTTTGTAAGTCTCTTTCCACTTAATAAAAACATCATTTTGTATAGATTTTTCCATTATATCAGTTCTAAATTCTAAATAATTATTTATTGTTCACACTYTTGGTCTGTTTTTATCATTTGTAATTGATTAGAGATGTGGTCATTTCTATGCCAGCAATGCTTTTTTCTAGGATCTTGATTAATGATTTATTGTTTTGTTCATATTCAAATTTATTCTTGTTGATTTTGTTTTTTACTTTACTTTAGGTCAAGTCAAATTGTATTGTGAAAGCATATTTATTCACAACCATGGACAACCAATGTGTTTTATTGCCTTTACAATAGATAACTAATAAACAAAATGAACATTAAATACCTAAATTCAATAAAATAAAACCTTAGTAAAGAATTATTTAAATTAATTAAACAATAACAGCTTAGATGAAACTTTGACTAAAATGATTACTTTCTTATTTTGCAAGAGAATTACCAAATTTGTGAGCTGAAGTATCACAGGCCTCTTGCAGGCCTGCAGTTGCATGATTATCCATAAATCTAATCTGTAGTTTCTTCYAGCAGATTTTCACATTGCTTTGCATTCAGTCACATCACAGCTCCATCATCGATCTGGTTTAGTCACGCTTTGAGAACCGGCTGCAGTGACACATATGGATCTTTTAACTGTTAAAAATAAATTAAGTTGTTGTTCCTGTATGCTGCATCATAATTGTTTGGTGGTTATTATTCATTCTGAAGTGTTTCCTCTCTGCCATTAACCCTGATTCATTGCCTCTAATATTTCTGCAAATACTCTAAAACACATTAATCTCTTGGTTGTTTTTGCAACCGCAGCTGACTTTTTTCTCCTCATTYTGCCTAAATGTGTGACACATATATTGCTTTTTAATTTATAGCTGGTCTTATTCAAAATAAAGCTTATGTAAACAAATAGAGAGCCAATCATTCCAGGCTGAGCATATCCCATCAATAATCCATGCAGTAACAAGAAAAAGAAAAGTAGAGGAGTTTTTTTTCCCTCCTCCTCTGGTTTTATGTAGAAGATGCTTTGGAGTAAAAGCAATATTTTTTTAAATGCACACACGCACACGTTGGCACACATCTGCTCTTACTAAAGCTATAGCTGGTGATTAAGATCACCCTCTGCACAACTATAAACCTTTCTGTGAAGTGTGTCTCTGTGTGTAAGGGGTGATAATATTGGAGCAATCAGTGCTATTGATCAAAGGGACTGGTGGGGATGGTGGAGCGCATAAACCAGCTTAATGTTTCTCTGCACACACATTGCCACCATCAGGCCCTGTTTCAGCCCATTCAATCACGTTCGGCTCAATCCCATCCACCACCGAATGAGCCKCACACAGCCATCCCCAGAGAGAAAACCACCTGTCCTGCACTTTTATGCATGAAGGTGCTTTTCAGGAACCTTTTGCAACAAATCACAGTCTGCCGTTACTTCTCACTGATGACTTAACTCCTTCCCAACCAAGCTTAGTCAAAGCAAGAGGGTGGTTGTTATAGTTGCGTGGTTTGCTATAAAGAAAAAAATCTGTGTAAACCAAGCGATTAGAGTAAGTGGMTTTTTAAAGAAAAAAAAGAAAAGCAGTTTGTAGTACCACACTAAAGAGCTCACACTAACTACGTTTACATGGACATAAGTAATCGGATTAAACGGCCATTAGGAACAAAAACGCGTCATGTAAACACCCCATTTGGATTATTCTGACCCGATTCAGCTTGGTCCAAATGAATTTGTAATCGGAATGACATATGTCATATCACAAAAAAAGGAATGACTTATGTGGTTCATGCCAATTAATGATCCGAACAGCGTGCATGTAAACACTTAATCTGATCATTTTATTCTGATTGTGGAAAACTGACCTGACTGCACATGTCTGCTGACTTTCATCCAGCGGTTTCTGCTATTTTGAGGAGGGAGGGGACAGCAGTGCTGATTCCAGGAGCACAGAACTTTTCCTCCCATTCTCTCATTCAGTAAAGAAGGAAGACAAACAGCCTGCGCCGCTTCGCAAAAAAATAAAAATAAAACGTCTGTCCGTCACCTGTAGCTTAACCAGGGAGTAACGTCTCCGCCATTATTAAAACCTATCGCAGGTCCATTCTGAGTGCTCAGAAGCTTTGTTTACGTTCATGATGACAGTAAAACTGTTTCCTGTGTTTCATTTATTTTATTTTATTGATTGATTGATTGATTGATTGATTGATTGATTGATTGATTGGTTGATTGATTGGTGGGTGTCATGGTTGTCAGTTTTCACCTTGGTTTTCCTAGTGTTTCTATGTTCCCCTGTGTGTCCCAGCCCAGCTGCCCTTCATTAGCCTGATTGTCACCCTCGTGTTTCTCACCAGGTGTTTTCAGTTCATTCATTAGTTTTCAGTGTATTTAAGTCCTGTCCTGTCTCAGTCTTGTGTCGGTTCATTGTGTTGTGTTCCCCCTGCTTGTGTGTTCATCGTGAAAACCTGTAAGTTTGAGCTGCCTTAAGAGCAGTTTTTTTGTTACTTAATAAATCTTTTGTTCTATTCTTGGAGCCTGCCTGCACCCTGGGTCTGTTCCTGCTAAATCCTGTCAGT